AAAAGTAAGAAGGCAAAGGGGAAGAAACCGAAGACAGCGAAGGAAAGGAAGGTGAAGAAATCAAAGTAGAAGAAGTAGAAGAGGTAATAAGAAGAATGAAAAAGAAAAAGGCGACAGGAAAAGATGGTATAGCAAATGAAGCGTGGATGGAAGGCACGAAAGGCTTGTTAAAAGATATGACAAAATGCTTAAATGGAATATGGAACGGAGAAGGATACCCGGAAAAATGGAGGAAGAGAATAATAGTACCAATATACGAGGTGTGTTCAAAAAGTAAGGTGACTTTGTAATTTTTAGAAAAAATATTTATTTATTTACCAATATTTATGTTGTCCCCTTCACAGTAATCCCCCTCAGATACAATACACTTATGCCAACGGTTTTTCCAATCCTAAAAGCACTTCTCATAAGCACTTTTCGGTATAGCCTTGAGCTCTTCCAGCGATGCAGTCTTTATCTCTTCAATCGTTGCAAATCTCCGTCCTTTCATAGGTTTCTTTAGTTTTGGGAACAAGAAAAAGTCACATGGGGCCAAATCCGGTGAATATGGTGGCTGAGCCATGATTATGGTGTTGTTTTTGGCCAAAAAATCTCTCACAAGCAAAAATGAGTAAGCAGGGGCATTATCGTGATGCAAAAGCCATGAATTGTTTTTCCACAATTCTGGGCGTTTTCTTCGTATTGCTTCTCGCAAACGGCGCATAACTTCAAGATAATACTGTTTATTGACCGTACGTCCATATGGTAAGAACTATGATGCATCATAAGAAGATGCATCATAAGAACATAAGAAAAATATGATGCATCACGCCATGGTAATCGAAGAAAACCGTGAGCAAAACTTTGACATTTGATCGAACTTGGCGTGCTTTTTTCGGTCTTGGCTCATCTGGGCTCTTCCATTGGGACGATTGGACTTTGGTTTCGATATCATAACCATATACCCATGATTCGTCACCAGTTATGACCCATTTGAGTAAATCTGGGTCGTCGTTGACGTCATTCAACAGTTCTTGAGCGATGCTCATGCGACGGTTCTTTTGGTCAAAATTTAGCAATTTCGGAACAAACTTCGTTGACACACGTCTCATGCCCAAAACGTTAGAATAAATTTCATGGCACGAGCCAAGCAATATACCAACATCTTCAGCAACTTCTCTGATAGTGATTCACTGATTTTCCAGAACAATTTTCTTCACTGCTTGAACGTTTTCATCAGTTGTTGACGTGCTTGGGCGTCCAGAGCGAGGCTCGTCATTGGCATCTTACCGGCCATCTTGGGAGAGTGTGTACCACTTGCAAACATTTTTTTTACTCAGAACAGTTTCACCGTATGACACCGTCAACATTTCAAGTGTTTCGCAGCACTTTATTTTATTTTTTACACAAAATTTGATGCAAATCCTTTGATCCATATTTTTCGATAGCAAGAAATCGCCGAGCACGCAAAACACTCATAACCTTTACGCCTCTTACAACCAAACAAAAAATGCTATACACTTGAAACTTGGTACAGATGTTCGGGAAGAGTGTACCAACATAACAAAACAAAAAAATCGATAATCAAAAGTACGTTGCCCGTGAAATTTGAAAAGTCACCTTACTTTTTGAACACACCTCGTATAAGAAAGGGAGGAAAGAAGAAGTAAAAATCTACAGGGGAATAACGCTGATGAACACGGGATATAAAATATACTCGGAAATACTCAGGAAATGCTGGAAAGAGAACTAGAAGCTAAAGAGACGCTAAGTGATAAGCAGATGGGATTCAGGAAGAAAACAGGAACAATGGACGCAATATATATATATTAAAAATAATAATAGGGAAGGAAATAAGGGACAAAGTAGGAAAACTGTACGTATTCTTTGTCGACACGAAGGCCGCTTTTGACAAGATAAAATGGAAGAAAACATGGGAAATCATGAAAGAGAAAGGGATAAATGAGGAAAAAAAAAAAAAAGGGATAAAAACAGGAAAAGAATAGAAGAAATATATAAGAAAACAGGGAGTAAGGTAAAAGTTGGAGGAGAAATAATTGGGGAGTTTGAGACTTACAAAGGGGTAAGGCAAGGGTGCCCTTTGAGCATCACGCTATTCAATTTTGCCTTCGCTGACCTGGAAGTCAAGATAAAACAGGTGCAAGAAGGAGCGGTAGTGATAGGAAGGAAGAAAATATGGACATTAGGATATGTAGATGATATAGTGATGATGGCAAAGAGTGAAAGTGAAATGAAAGCGATGCTGAAAAAATTAAAAAGATACCTGGAAGAATGGGGATTAGAGCTAAATGTAGGAAAATTAAAGATAATGAAATGCAGGAGAGGATGAGGAAGGGGGAAGGAAGAAGAATTCTAATGCGAAGGTGAGAAGATAGAGATGGTTAAAGAGCATAACTAGTTGGGATATGTGATAAGCAGATATAACGGAAATCAAAAGCTGATAAAGAAGGTAGAAGGGAAAATAAATATGGTCCTCGGAAGACTATGGGGGCTAGGAGAAAAGCTATTTAGAGAAAATAGGGAGCTAAGAATGAACCTGTTCGACGCACTAGCGGAAAGCGTGTTTATATATGGAGCAGAAATCTGGGGATGGAGGAGATATCAAGAAATAGAGAGATTACAACTAAAATACATAAAGTGGGTATTCGGATTAGATAGAAATACGACAAGTTACTTAATACGATGGGAAACAGAAAGACAATAAATCAAAGAAACAGCATTAGAACGAGCAATGAGGTATGAAAGCAAAATAAGAGAAGAAAGAGATGGCTCAATAAAAAAAGAAGCATGGAGAGAACTAATGAAAAGGGAAAGAAATGAAAAAGATAAAAAGGGTAAGAAGGAGAGAGAGGAAAGGCTAGTAAAAAGTAAAATTTACAGAGAGAGTGAAGAGAGAGACGAAATGAGAGAAGAGTTTTGGGAAGAAATAAGAGAAGAGCTAAAGAAAAAAGTAGAAAAAGAGCTAGAAGAAAAGCTAGAAAAGTCAAGGAGTAGAAAGAACTGAAAGAAGAAATGAAAAAGTATAGATTAAAGGAAATTCAAGGAGAGGGAAGATTAAAAGGCCTACAAATAAGGGAAAGGTTTAGGATAGATAATGAAACGAGAGAAAGCAGGTATTGGGAAAAAGAAGAAAATAAGAGATGCTGAATGTGTATGAAAGAGGAAGAAAATAGGAAGCACATAGTAGAAAAATGTGAAAAAAGCAAAAAGGAAGGGGAAGAATAGGAAAATATAATAATAGGAAGCAAAGGAAAGTTAGCGTGGATGATGGAGCTAAAATGGAAAAGAAGAAGAAACGAAGAGGACAAAGAAAAAGAAAAACAAGAAGACAAAATTATAAGACCCTAAAGAAAACAAGTGAGGCTGAGGAAGAGAAATGTAGAGGGAAAAGTGGGATGGAAGGTAGAACAGACGGGAATGGAAGACAGAGACATAAGACTCGCCGACACACCTACATACGCACACATATACACAAAACACGCAAACATACACATACACACACACATAAAACACACGTATTAGGAACTATCGTACACAAGTGAGAGGAAGCAGGTATTGGATGATGGAGCAAAAATGGAAAAGAAGAAGCGAAGAAGAAAAACAAAAAGGAAAACAAGAAGACAAAATTATAAGACACTAAGTTAAATTAGGCAGAGGGAGCAATAGGAAATAGAACAATGTGTCAAAGCCCTTATAAGGAGAAAGACAGGTGAGATGATTAGCAAGAAAGAGTGCAAAAGCAAAAGAAAAGCAAAGGAAAGGTAAAGGCAAAAGAAAGTAGCAAAGGAAGAAGTCGAAAAGAAGATAAGCAAAAAAGGGAGAAACAGAAGAGTGGAAAAGGCAGATCTCGAAGAGAGAGAGGATGAGAAGATTAAGCAACTGAAAAATGGGAAGAAAGGCTGAACAGACAGACACAGAAGGTAGAGAAACAAGATTTGTAGACATACCTACATACGCAAACATATACATAAAACACGCACACACACGCACATACACACACAAAACACATACATTAGCAACTACACAAACTGGACACGAGACACAAATAGTGAAGCAGGAAATGTAAAGCAAAATGTAGCAAAAGTTGAAATAAAATCATATATATAGTTATGGCATCATGGCTTTACAAACATTGAAAGTAAATGGTTAACCTCGTCTCCTATTTCGCCCATGTACAACAATGGCAGGTCGAGTTAACTCACAACACGATTGTTGATGATACTTGTTTAAATTTTGGATTACAAGTAGCAACTGGAATCAAATTTATTCTGACGTCACAAATTCGCTTAGAACGATCTAGGAACTCACTAGATGGTCCTTATGGACCATCTTGTCGCTTCTCCCAAAACTATGCGTGAGCAAGCGAGAAGACTAAGCAAGAGCAACCGAGATAAAAAGAAAGAACTTAAAGTGTGCGTAGCAAACAGAGATAGTGAGTTATCTTACAGGTGTACATACAGTGGTACCACGTTAAGCCAAGTTTACAATGAAATAAACGTTAATCAAATTAAAATAATATCCCCGAACGCTCAAAGCGCTCGGTCCAACTTGGTAGCTTGCGGGCACCGAATCGACGCCGCCTCGTACCTGAATGCTTGTGCACGAGATCAGGGACTACAAAGGTACTAACAGCAGCCGCGTAGGTCGCAGGCAACAGCTATAGGGAGACAGAGGACAGCTATGTTAGCGCCTAATAATAGATATTAATTAAATGTTATTGCTATATGAAATATGTAAATGAAATTCAGAAAAATACTCCAATAAGTATTTTGTTTTGGTTTTACAAATGTGCGTGTAATAAATAGATATTCTATTTGCAGCAAAATCGGAGACGGAGGATCGGGTACGTTCCCTTGTCAGTAAATTAATTACGAATATAAGTACCAATACTGGTTTGAAATTCAATATAACAATAAATCAAAATTATGCCTGCAATGGAAAGAATTAAATTAGATTAATTTCATATAAATAATTTTAATGCAATATAGAAAAAGTTTTACCTATAATCAATAGTTGTATCAGCGTGAGTATGTTGTAAGTAGAGAGGGTCAACGACTAATGCACTTGTCAATTTAAATCTGTCTCGTACCCAAAGACATGAGCAATCAAAATTAGTTAGGAGAAACTTATTTGGATTTGTGTTGAATGAATCTGCGTATTCAATACCTTCCATCAAATATTTCAATTCTGGACAAATAAAGGAATTACCCGCATAAGCAGCATCAACATGCAGCCATATCTGTTAAGAAATATTTATATTTTATCTTAAGATATATATTTTAAGAAGTATTTATATTAATATATTTCCGAAATCAGTTCATTTAGAAGTACAAATGATAATTATTTTGATCGATTAGTTACAAATAGGTAATTTAAGATCATTCTCTCATTAAACTTATGCTTGTCTGTTCAATAGACATTACATATTACGAAAAAAGGGGTTTTAATATTGATTTTCCTCATAGAATGTATTTGCAAAGTTAGATAATATTTAATTTTGTTCAGCAGACTTAGAACTTCATTTAAAGTATATAAGATAACTGTAAAGATAACAAACTTTGAATTGGTCACCAGAGATAAGAATTCCTTTGTTCATATATATCGGGTTTATCATTGGCAACCCTCCTTCAAACTAAAAAAACAGAACAACAAATTACTTATTTGACTAAAACTAATATAGAAAATTGTTAAGTTGTGAAAGTCTACAGTTTGTACAGAATTATGTATTTTGAAAATTTATATATAGTTGAAATAATGAGAAACTTTTAAGTACATGAGTAGTATAGGCTACGGGGATCCTGAAACAAGTTAATGGTTAAGGCAACACCATAGGTAATGTTACTAGCCACCGCATATTGGCGTATTACCAACAAAGTTACCAACGTGTTACCAATTTCAGATTATCGATATGAGACCTGATGTTGTTGGACTTTATAGATCGAGTTATCGAGATGTTAGAGTCCCAATTTTGGCAGATCCGTGCCTCATGTTTATGTGCGGCTACTTGATACTTGCATCAAGAGTTATCATAGAAGCAATAAATGTCGGTATCGAAGTCATTCAGATGTCAGCTTTACCAGAATGCTCATGTAATAGCCCCGTGCTCCATGCCCTATGTTTATGTACAACCCCATCCTCATATAGACTAAGTAGATAATGATACCGACTACTAAGTCATGTTCCCCGGCCCTATGGCCAATAGCTGATGTTTGATATGACAAAAATTCTAAAAATATAAGATAATAGGTAACAAATAAAGTTTTATCGAAAGACTATGATTGGAAAAAATTACAAGATGTGTAAATATATAAGATTTTTATTTTAAGATTTTAATTGTGTAATTTAATATGAATTCAATCAGACATTCTCCAAGAGATTTCATTTTAATTTTGTTCTTCCACTTTCTCTTTTAAAGTTCCATACAAACTTTTGTTGTCGATGAGAAGTTGGTTGACTTTATTAGGAAAGAAATTATCGAATGATGCATCCAAATGTGGAAAGATTTTGAAACTATAGTTATCTATAGTTATCAGATGGATAGAAAAACAGCTTCCGCCTGGCCAAGGTGATGGCGACAAACTCTGATGATCGCTCACTCTCCCTTTGTCTTGCCTCTCGTCTATCTGCTGTTGCACTCGTACGCATTACAAAAATTGGTTATTGTTCTGTTCTAGCTAAGCTATCGAACTCCTAGTGTACGCTTGACCGCAATCGGCAGCGACCTTCCACTTTCTCTTTTTTCTTACCCGCTTGGCCTACTCATTAAGCAGCGCGCGACTCAAGCGCTAATTGGTTACGCGTCGCGCGTCTATCTCAACCTGCGTTGGGCACACCCCCCTTTCTCTCTCTTTCTAACACCTTCTATGATCCTTCTCTTACTATGTCGGGCTGGTTCGATCTTGGTCGGCGATCTCCGTCGGCTGCAAACAAAGGCTATGCATTAGGCGCATTCTAAGTGCGCTCAACGCTGGCTACCATGCCTTATCGAGAGAGGGGAAATGGGAAAAAACACTGACGAGAACAAGCGTAACGCTCGCTCTCGTCACAGGTTCCATCTCATATTATGCAGAGTTTTATGCGGACCTATCACTAAATTTCTGCAAAGTATTTTTTATTACACTAGGTCGAAAATAAGAGGACCTGAATTTTTTCATTTCTCTCTCAGGTATATAGTTGCTTCAATTTTGCCATCAGAAAATGCACTTCTGGAAAGAGAAACTTTAGAAAAATTTTGAGATTGCATTTTCATAACTCGGTACTTTTTTACGATACAATAAAATAGTTTTTATGTTACCAACAAGTATAATAGAAATGGAGCTCTTCAAGTCTATTTTATCAAAAATATGAAAATATTCTGTAACGGTTGGCTATCTTTGGGTGTCGTGAATGCAACCGGCCGATAGCCGTTAGTCAAGCAAATACACGGGAATGCTTGATCTGGCAGCTTTCTTACACGCGCACGCGGCTCTCTTTCTTATACGATACAAAAAGAGGAAAGGACTGGCTACGCGGATAAGGACAAGTAGTTTAGTTTGGACTTCACATGAGAACATTTTGTTTAATGGTGATCTCGAACGACGTTCTCATTACGCTTGATGAGACCTATAACCCAGGAGTTTTGGTGCCAGAATTTACGCGCGAGCCAGCTTCGTATAGGCAGGTACCTTTCAAGGCGAGGTGAATGATGGAGAGTAATCTCCACTACTCAGAGATCGAGTACTTGGGCGCCGTACGCTATCTTTCTCGGAACAGCTGCATCGTCTTCAAGAAACGAGGAGAAAACCAACGAGGCTAGACATAATCTCCCAGTTGGCTGGCCAGCAATTGGGATCATACTAAGGTAGCGCCCGATTTCGCGAACTTCCGCTAGGCATATAACCGCGAGAGAATTGCCTTTAGAGTTCGTGTGTGTTTCTCGTCTGGCGAATAAAGAGGTATTAATCAATCAATCAATCTCTTTCTTGTATTACTGGAATTATTGCGTGCGCCCGGTTTTAATCTCTAGTTTTGTATTCAAGTGTGTATCACCCCAAAGCCGGCATTTCGAGGGTCAAGGTTAACATAAAACTCTGGCACTTGAATGTTTCGTTAGCTTGTGGTTTTCTTTCCTCCAACTTAACTTTTGTCCATCATCCTTGAAACAACTTTACCGAATAACAATCGATATTCACGCGCGTGAGTGTTCGCGGTCCTTTTAGTGCAACGCAAGGCGACCCAGTTCGGCAGAAGAAAAAACCTCTTTAACGGGGTATAAAAGATAGCCAAATCTCATCGGATAAGATCGGCAATGAGAAGAAGCAAGAATCCTCCTCGCACGAATCCTTGCTTCGACGCAGCCGCGCGCATACATAAATTCATACGGCATTTACTCGCCCATCGGGCGATATACGCTTAGTTAACTACGCGCGTCTTCTTACTTAGTACAATATTCGCCCCGTTACAGTGCATATTTCAGCAAAAATTTCATTTTTTCTAAACAAATCGCATATTCAAAAAAAAATTTTTCATCTCGAAAAGGTCGTAATTGTTTGCTTTCAAAATTCTTTTACGTATACTTAGTATCAATACTAGTAGGTAAATTAGAAAGATCTCAGCTCACAGAAGCTTCAACTCATCCGTGATATGAAGTCCGTTCGATTTAAGATGAACATTCTCAGATCAGGTGTGATCTGACTTTGTGCATTATAAGAACAACGCTCCCAGATGATATGTGATATGACTTTGTGCATTATAAGAACAACGCTCCCTGATCATGTGTGATATGACATTGTGCATTTTATGATCAGTACTCTTACTAGGAAGGTAAGGGAAGTGTGTGGAACCGATTCCAATAAAACTGTGATATGTTATAGTGGATTAAGAAATAAACGCACATATTTTTTTATGTGTTAACAAATGGTTTAAAGGGTCGAGAACTACCCCCAAAGTTGGAACCTAAAAACCGTTTTTTCAGTATATCTTCTTTCCTACACAAGATTTCTTTCTGAAAACAACTGGTTATTGCTTCTTTCTGAATAACAATATCATACAGCACACCAAGGACCGCAAGGGTGGCATCCCTTTTTTTTCAAGAGGGCGAAAGTTATTCTATCTTGAATTTTTGTCTCGAAGCAATACAAATTTAATCCAAGGTCAACGAAACTCATATTGTCCTAAAGGATATTGAAAACTATATTGAAAAAAAGTTGAGGAATTTCGGCTTTTTTTATTTGTATACGGTATATGGGATAAACTACCCTTAGAACATGTTCATTCTTATTCGAGTAAAGCGCCGTAGATTTCAATGAAATTTCAGTTGATTATAATATATTTTCAGGAAAACAAGATATGAACATTATTTTATATAGTGATAAATGTTTTAAAAAGGTGAAAACAACCTCTGAAATTTATCTTTAAAATACATTTTTTAGGGTATCTTTACTTCTTCGTAAAATATTTCCAAATTCAACTGGAAATTGATTGTTACTAGTCAACCAAATTATAAGCCGTACAAATCTTCAAGGGGTCACATCCCCTAACTATGGTAGGGGTGGTTGTGATTAAAAAACTATTTTTTTAATAAAACTGATTCAACAATACTGATACTGTTTCATTTGGAATGACGTTGCATACTAAAGTAAACTAGTATGCATAAACTACCCTTAATTTTCATTCAAACGAAATGCCGCAGATACCTGATTTATGTGATATAGTAATATATTACTATTATTAGTATATATTACTCATATGACATTGTGCCCATGACAATATATTATTTATAATATATTACTATATTATAAGTAATATATAGTAATACGAGGGTGGTCCGATAAGTACTTAGCCTACAAAATAAAAACGAAAATTTTGGAAAAGTGGCGTTTTATTTTTCAACAGTCTCCTTTTAGTTCGAAACACTTGGCCCAGCGATGCTCCAACTTCTTTAACCCGTCTGAAAAATACGTTTCCTCGAAGTCTGAAAAGTAGGCTTCCGTGGCAGCGATTACTTCCTCATTCGACTCAAATTTCTGCTCGGCGAGTGACTTTTTCAAGTTTGGAAAGAAAAAGAAGTCACACGGGGCTAAATAAATACGCAGAAACTCCTTCGGATTGTGCTTAAACAGCGTCAGACATTGCTCTGAAGTTGTCTCACGGTTGCGCTTGTTGTCCGGAGGTGCCGCACTCATAGCGCCGATAGCTTTCTCATGCCCAAAATTTCATGCAGGACATGACCCACGCGGTCTTTTGAGATGCTTACGATCT